ACTGGCAAACATTAAAAAAATTGCAACATACTATTTCGCACAGTCAATTAGTTGATATTCATTTGACCTTTCAAACGTTTCCTGTATACCTCCATCCTTCCATAATTTGGCGCAATATGTGAAGAACTCCTAGACAAATATACTACATAACAGGTAAGTACCGGTGGATAGTCAAAATCAGGTTTAGATGCAGTTTCCAGTATATAATCCCTCAACTTTTTGTTTTCACTGAGTTCAAGCTCTACTGGTGGTTTCAAAGAACTCATAGCACCAGCTATTGACTGACAAACTTAAATGATGAGAGAAAACTTACACAGATAGCGTCACGGAGGTTTTTCCGGATCGCATCAATCTTTTCTTTTTTTTCTCTGGAGTAATTCATAACAAGGGTGAATCAAAGCTTACCGTTCTGAAAAGCCATCTATGTGTAATATCCTCATTTGCTTAACAATGGTCGATTTCCCAGACTCTCCAGCACCTATCAGAGTTAAAAACAACCTTCAATTATCAAGCATACCCAGAAGGAGAAGTCTGTGTGTAGACTTAAAATTCTTTTTCTCCTTTTCAATTAATTTCTCAATCTGCTTATTTGCATCGCTTCGTGTTTTGGCATCTTCCGAAATATTATTTAGTGTGCAACAGCCAATAACCATTTTTGACTTTAAAAGAGATATTTATCGGAATGACCGAGATGAGTAGAGCAGCACCACACAATGCATTACAATAATCCTACATGAGCTGGAGTCAATGAAGGCATCAAATAAGTCAGAAAGTGAAGTCGATAAACAAAGAACTCAATGTTCAATATCCAACACCTTCAAGCACTTAACTACACGTAGTATACATGTTAGCTCGGATCTCAGTCGTCTGAGGCACAAAAAACTGATTAACATCCAGTAAAAAACGATATTGTGTTAAAATCTCTTCTTTTAAAAGAAAAAATTCCATGTAAAATTACTATAGCCCATGAGTTAGTGGTTTTATAAATAGTAACGATACTCCTTTGTATCGAAGAAAGGCAACAACTATGGTAGAATGAGGCCAAGGTTTATTGTTTATAGAAAGCGCGACTGTTAGAATTTACGGTCCTATCTGATATCACGTGACAAAAACCAACAACCACAATATCGAGTCTTATGGCCTAGTATCATAACTAACAAGTGTTAAGACAACCTGCACTAGTATCCCTGACTCAACTCCAAATTCTTATCAGTCCTCGATATTTTGCCTTCCTTATTTTCCCCGCCAGTTGAGTCTAGAGCACGATAATCAGCCTCCGCTTTATGAATACTATATTTCAAACGTACGTTACTTATACACAAGCACACCAGACAGAATCAAAGCATAAAATAAAAAGCTATACAAGACAGGACCAAAGGTAGCTGAGTGTGGGAAACTGTGAATAATAGGTTGAGAATAAACTATGAATAACGAAAAAAACCATTGTGTCAATGAAGAAGTATGAAGGCAATTCAGCGAAGAACATTCCCATTTAAATGATTCCACATACTTAAACGGTACAACCGCATTTATAATCAGTTTTTTATTTGCTTAAATAGTTTTCCATAGTAAGATAGAAAGGTGCTAATTAATGGAGAACTTGAAGTGGTATGTTTTTAGGAATCGAAAATCAGATATTGGTAGGAGATTATTTGACAATCGTCAAGCGAAAAAGTGGCAAGGTGAAACAATTAAGAACAGTTATTAAAATTATAGCAGCAGATAAAATGGGAGGTTATGACGATGAATGAATGAGGGACTGAACATACTGTCCTTGTATGCGAATGTTAAGCTTAGACTGGTGGATAGCAATGGCCCCTTTTGTACATAGGCTTTTCAATTGCAGTCCTATTTAGTTGACTCCCATGACTTTATATGTTATACTAAATAGGTCTTCTGATGGAGTAGAGTGGCCGGAATTGACTAGATCCCCATAGACTGAGCTTTTCACTGACTTTTTTAATCCTTCGGAGATGTAGGCAGTGTAATCTTCTGAGATGAGTTTCAAATGAACTAGGATTTGCGACCAGTATAACCTGCTTTAAATTACCAAGCAAATAGATAAATGCGCATTGATTTAGCACAAAGTGGATGCTTATCATCCACAGAATTTCGAATCATAGACTGATCAGGAAACATAATGCAAAGTTCAGGCAAATAGACCGTTTTACTCAGAGATCTTGAAAGTCTGTTTTTCAGAATTTTTTCAGCAGTGTCTCTTCCAAACCGAGTATTTATGAAAAGTTTCCTTTATTGCTGTGGCCATTTTCTCATGTTGCCGTTTTTTGCCTCAGCTTTTTCCGACTGGATACAGGTGGATGTCCATTGTTAGTCAGTGTCTGAAATAGTTCAATAAGCTGGGTATCAATTGTATTCTCGATTCAGATCGTCGAGCCCTCGAACAGGGAGAACAGATTAGAGTCCTCTTTTACTTCAGTGGGACCCAACCGTTCGATGTTGACTTGCTGCATATCGATCATTGTAGGAAACAGTCGGGTCTCCTTTTTACTAAATCATCTGGGGAGTAGAACTCTGAATTCGACTCTGATTCTCTTGTGAACCAGATTGGTTGATGATAGTGTTAAATGTTTTCAGGGTGTCGTTGACGTTGATATTTTTATCCAACATAGTGAAAGTGTTGTCTAAGCATCTCTTCTATAAATGGCACTCAGTTATTGGTTTTAACATATTGTTTTCCAGATCGGCAATTAAACAGACAGCCAGAAATTGTTCGAGTGATAACCCCATTGCTAGGCCGTCAATTTGTCTTCAAAACTCGTTGTTAAATTTAAATTAGACACTGGGAGTGCATAGAAGAATAATTTCTTTCAGATTATGTACTTAAATAAAGACATAAGTTTGTTATTTTTAATATAATGATTTAACAGACTGATTGTTTCTGTTAGGGGTACATTTGTAAAAAGAGAGGAAACGTCAGATTTTTCCGGTTACGTTGACACTTGATACTGAATAAACAGAATCAAATGAATCAGCAGTAGTGTATCTGTGATGGTATTGGTCCTAACCACACAACCCTCAAAGCTGAACATAAAATATCTAGGAAAATAAGTGTTCAGAATTTAACGTGTAGAGGTCAATAACGATGAATGCGGGAACGATCAGTAAATTCAATCGATCGGCATGGCTCAGCCTCATAGACGTGGACATCCTGGAGAACCTGTGTTTATTAACTTTAAATATATTATTCGATCTTTAGCCTGAATGTGTTCCTCAGAAGTAACTGAGTATCAGATTTTTAATCTTTATGTTTCGATGAGTAAATGTAGACACGAGTGTGACGTCCACGAAAGATCTTATTGATTAGGCAGTATAATCATGACATATCTACTATTTTAGGATAAGGTCTATTATTATAATAGTACTAATAACGAAATTGACCAAAATTCTACATATCTATTGAGTTGACGTCTGACTGATCGTAGAATTCCAGTTAACCATTTAGTGATGGCATTGTATGGGATAGGGAGGTATTTTTCTTATCCATTTAAGATCGGCCATATAATTCTGGTATAATGAATCCCGTTGGTTTAAGTCTTATATAGAGGTTTTCACTGACAATTGAGTTATCATTAATTTTTTCAAGGATTTGATTCAAATTCTCCTCACTTTGATATGCAACATCCTTATGAATTTTTTTTGGGAAATCGATTGTTATCAGAGAGAACACAGAATACATTTGAAATATAGTCCTTTTGATCAATTATAACAATGCCAGAACCTTTATCCAGAAAACTTAACACCATATCTTTGTTTCTCAATAGAACAAATAGTTATGATTCATGTTTTGTATTGGTATATATTAATTAAAACTTACAGTGACTGTTTCGAATTTTTCACGTGCTTTGTTGGATACAGATGTAGTGTCTTTCGTCCGACGAATCAGGCTATCAAACTGAAGTGTTGTGCTGAGCTCACTGACATTTCTGGATGCATTACGGAATTTTGGACCTACAGACAGTGCCCGTAATAACGTTTTCGATAACGTGATGTTGAAGTAGTTAGAGACGTATTTCTCAAGTGTTTCTCGAAGAGAAGAGCTCGCTATTACTGAATTTAGAATTTTCATCAACTGAACCTTCATATCCTCTGAACGTTTCGTCGATAACTTATCTATTTATTCCTTTAACCTGTCACGTTCATCATCAGCTAACTCATAAAACATGTGCTTTTATTTAAAGATTTCCATAGATTTCTAGTAATCCTGGCTTAATTTCCTATTTAAAATTCGAAATGCTGGAATGTGCCTGGTAAATAATGAGTCGAACGAAAGCTTCTGACAAAAGGAATATGAACTTACAGGATCTAGTATGATAATAATTATGCAAAAAGCATATGTATTAGCATATACACGCAAAAAAAACGAAGTTAACAACAAGGAAATGCGTCGTTTTATTATCACAAAGTTATTTATATGGGTGAAAATACTGCTGAATCTGTCTACTACAATTAATTCAATTCCTGACATTTAACTATTTGGAGACAATTTATGTGATTATGTTTGTGGTCTTAACCACACAAGATATCTGATAGATTAGTAGAGATTAACTCTGGTTCAGCATTTGAACCCAGGCTTTGCCGCTTTTATGGGCACCTACATTGAAAATTACACTAGTAGATCCTGAGAATATATTGGATCTAAAGATCATTATATGTAAAATATAATGGGTATATTCAAGGGACTAATATACCCATCAAGAAATTTGCCATATATTGCTTGCGACAGGATCTACTTCAAAGTGACGACTTTCACTGATATTGAGGTGGGTTTTGGAAAAGTAAATAGGGTGAAGAACAACATATGTCAAAATTCTACTCATTATTTTAACTTAAGTTTAATTGTGTTGTGTGATTAGCTGGTAATTTCCGGTTACCCCGATCGACATGATCAGTGAAAGACTAATTTCGGGTTTTAGACGCAAGTTAACCACAATACAGAGAAGCACAGTCATGTGTCTTATGTGGATTGGACACCACGAAAATCATGCTAAAATCATTCTATTATCTACACGCACACAAGATTTTGATTTCGAAATGTTATCTGAACTGTTGATTGATGACAAGTAGATGGGTGGATTTGGAGAAGAGATTGTAACATCTGTAGATCGGACATTAGACAACGGATCGAATTCCTTGTTACTCTCCGGGTTGCATATTGACTGTGACAAAAGAGAAAAATAGAATCATTTTCTAAATTAGGTGTAGAAGGATATATTTTAGTTAACAACACTGTACAGATACATTAACGACTTAGGAATTGTATGAGTACAAACGTGTTCTCACGTAAATTTTGTAAAACAATCAAATGGTTTGTTTAATGTTATCCAAACAGTAATATACGAAAACTGCACATTATTCAAGTTACATAAATGTAATGTTCAATACTACTTATTAAGACCTTCGATCAGAAAGCTGCAGCATCTAGATTTGATGAGGTTGTAACTTACAACGTTAACTATTTCTACTTATGCCCCGTGGTGCTTTATACGATATTTAACATTTTTTATTTCTGAATAGGTAGTCAGGAATTATATGAACTAAATAACCTATTTTATTACGTACCAATAAAATGATCACCATGACATTTCTCAACACATTTTGAATTCTACAAAATATTACTGCATCGATATGATATTGTTGTCATCTTTTGTATTGTAAGGACGCCAAAATTCGTAAGTTACCACCTAAACCATACATACAACAGTTGATAGGATGGAACAGGAACAAAAGTAAAATTAATTTGCTTTTGTTTCTCGATAAGCTAATATACTACTAATTTGTATTCATTAAAAATTTAGTCTGTGGGACTTTTGTGTAGTCCTGACAGTAAGATATTTTTTGACCTATCGGCTATTGTTATCACTTTTGCCGCTCATAGACTACAATCAATCAACTAAGAATTTATTAGTTTTGGATTGTAAATGTCCTAGTTGTGTATGCATTGAAACTTATTATTTAGAGTAGTCTTGATATCTCACTTATACATATTATCGTGAGTTATGGATGTACATAATGAAATTGTTCGCAACCATTCGACCGGTTTTCTGGTATTCTGACTGTAGGTTTAGAAAAATGGGCATGCGGACCCTATCGAAAGCATCAAAAATATAGTAATGGGAATGTGATGCAGACAAGGGACAACGGCAAGTAAGTATAAATGGCAGTTTAGACTCATATAAGTTTCAGTAAATTGCTACCGAGTGTTAATCATGATTAATCAAATTATATCCAATTGAAAAATAACAATTTTTCTGAGTGGAAAATGGTTGGCAGATAATACTTACGTCTGTTTTGTCTACTATTTCAGGTCGATTACAGTTAGTGAAAGCTATATCCATGGAACTGTTGGCAGAAAACGTTTTTTGAATACGATCAGCTACGTTTAGGATGTGGTTACCAAGCCGTTGAAGTTCATAAACTAAAGAAAACGTATCCCCTGATTCGAGTTTTTTAGCTTCACCGTCTTTTCTGTTTTTAAATGGAGCAGTACATTGTAATATTTCAGGTTTGTTTACAACTATGGAAATTGAAAAAAAATCATTAACAAAACCTATCAAGAATGAATGAATTTAGACTGGAGAAGTTCGAGCCTTCTATTTAGAAATATGAATTAATGTCAAGGTCTAGTGACTGAAATAGTTAGCCCAGTTTAGGTGTGATTCAATCAATAAAGTTTACTCATTTATTTACGAGCTATCTACAAAAGTGTAACAACCACATAAAGGCAACCAGGAGTCTTTTCTAAATTATGATGACAGAGTATTAGCTGCTTTTAAACTAACGGCAATTCCACACAAAGAATATTTTTGTTGAGTGAAATCCAAAAACTTGAGCCGAAACCAGCAACTTCTATAAGTTAGGCGTAGCATACTATTTTATACTGAAATAGATGAAATGTGGCTTACGCAGAAAGCGCGTTTCTTATGAAATAATATATTTCTTTCACAGAAATATCAGACATTGATGTCCATTTTTCTGAATAATTGGGAAAGAAAAGGATATTAGCTGAAAGCATAACTGAAGGTGAACTTCAACTTTTAACTGGAAGACGAACACTGTAGAAGTTTGAAAGTGTATGGTTTAGCATTTATTTTTAGTTTATCCAGACAGTGGATATACCAAACAGTCATAAGGGGGAATCAAATGCATTTGACGAAAAATGATTTCAAATGATAGAAAAAACTCCGATTGGTGTTACATGCTTCGTATGTAACTTCGTACGTAACCAGTCCGATTCTGAAATTAAACATTTGAACGATACTACTTGCATATCAGTAGTAATAAAACCGTATTTGCCGGACAACTATCGTAGCTGGCAATACATTTGGAATGCTATATTCAAAGTGCAGCTTTTACACTGAGAAATAGCAGCATTTTCAAAGCGGAAGCCATGCAAAGATGGAAAATCGTAGATTACTGATTTCATGGTTCTACAAGAACGAGAAACGGTACTTCTTTTAACCTTTCGTTTACACAGGAACTTGTGCTGGCAGCAAATACGAATTCAATATAATAACGATATTGCAGAATTTTAGAGCCCATAAAATTTATGTTTGAATATTATGTAAAGGTTTTGAAATGCGTAAAATATTTAAGAGGCATAAATGAGTGTTGTTCATTTAACTGACTTGTATCATTGCCCCACGCTATACTGATCGTTACTCGTCGAAGCTATTTGAGCTTCATGCAAGAGCTAAAATTTCCAGCAGTGTCATCCTATTACCAACCAAATTAGTGTCCCTACCTGTAAGGTAAAATTACTTTATAATTTGGTGATATAGAACGCACTATATCTTAAGTTAACGCTATTATCATCCACTTCCTTTAGAATCGTCTTGGGAAGTTCACTGGTAGAAGTAGGAAGTGACAAATACAAAGGCCACACATAACTTTTCAATTGGTTTCGAATAGTGGATAACATATCTCAGACACCTGTCTTCGTAAGACATTCCCAGCGGTACTTTCTCCTTGGAACTGGATGTAACTCTGGAGTCTGGGAATGAGCACTGACTTTTATCAAATGTTACGATATTTCACTAGAAAACACAAAATTCAGACCCAATTAATCAATAGAAATTAATTGATCTTCCTGTTTATTTTTCATTCCTTCTGAATATTTAAATCTAATAGGACATGGACAATTGTCAATAGGAAGCCAGTCACTTAACACAGAGTTTCGCAATGTAATGTAGTGTTCATTCCAACTAAACTGGATAGGTGATGCTTCATGACCCTTGGACAAGCGTTTATCAAACATCCTCTCAGTCAACAGATGGAGTAAAACACGGTACTTTTGAATTCCAGACAAACATGTATTTTGTTTAGGTCATATAAGGATGTGGGCGTTAAACATACCAGGTTGAGATGTCAAGTGTTTCGAAACTACTGAGATGAATTTAATATCTGAGGATAGCTTCGGGGAAGCAACTAATTGGTAATAAAAACAAATGGCTATGAGGACTATAGGGGTAAAAAACACACACGACGGATATATTACATGTTATCTTGATTGCGCACGTTAGCTGTTACATAATAAGCTCGATTCGCGCGAACGGCAATACTCTTATTTTTCCTCTTCACGGTTATAACAGTTAAAATATTTGGTTACTTAAACTAAAACAGGTAGAGGGGAGTTTGTCCCCTAACTGAATGACTGAAAAATGAATGACTTCCCAACTAAACCACCGTATATTGTTAACTAGTGTTAGTCAGTTATTTCCACGATCCCCTATCACTTCACAAAAATGCAGAATTTTTTAAAACTCTATTGCTTTGTCATGAACGAAGCACAGTATATTTACTCACCTAAAATCGTTAAGCAATACTTTCGTGCAAATAAACAAAAAACTGGAAGGTCAGTTAAAGTTTACAAATACTCAAGTCTTGGACGTAGTACCCAAAAGTGCTTAAAATATACGGGCACTCTCATGAAAACATAAATGCACTGAAATTCGTATATGAAAAACCACTTTTCTCTTCCCAAGTTAACGTCCGCCTAGACGCCTACAAATGAGAAAGAAATGAACGACTGTGTAGGCTTTAAACGATAACATTAAGTCAGGAACTCAAATCTGAGTGGACGTCATCCCAAATAATGATGATAATTGGGTCTCGTCTGAAAATCACTTTTTCTATGAAATCTGAAAGAAGTCGACATTTTCGGATGGGTTGTATGTATTAGAATGATTAGACTAAGTACTATATTAATTCCTTTTAAGGAAAATAACTCCTTTTTCCGGCAAGTCTCTTATCACAGCTATTAATTCTGTTATAACGCAACTGATTTAATAACAGTGGAGACATTTATTCATTTTCATAGAATATAAAGCAGACCTTAAGATACAGAAACAGCTATCCTGTTGCGACTACAACAGAAATTCGATGTATTTGGGTCCTTTCTAGATCAAAAAGTTTGGATCAAAAGAATGATGAGTGGTTCAAAACGAGCACTATGTGGCAGAATTGTAAGGAAACAAGGTTACTGTGACGTAGTTCTCATGCGTTTAGCTGAATTACATCGGGCATAAGCTGAGACCTTTTCAAACTATTTTAGCGAAGTCTACTCTACGTTTATTGTTACAAATACTTGTCCCAATAACACCGAGATACCAGTCATAGAATCTGGACATGTGACTGGGGAAACTGTTCTTCCACTGGTAACTAACCTCAAACCTTGTAAGATACCGGGCGCTGATAGGTTACATCCACTGCTGCTCTCATCTCTTGTGGGCATTATTCCACGATCGCTCGCGACACTCTTCAACAAATCCCTTTCACCCGCCCAACTCCCTAGAGATTGGAAAGACGCTATAGTCAGTCCCATATTTAAGGATGGTCAGAGACATCGTATCTAACTACCGGCCTGTCAGTCTAACCAGCATATTCGTTAAGTTACCTGAAAAGATAATTCGGGTTAAGTTGCTAAGTCACATAGATTCACACAATGTTAGCTCCTGAGCAACATGGGTTTCGTAACAAGCGTTCATGCTTGACTAACTTACTTATTGTGAGAGAGGACTGGACAGCAGTCCTAGATGACCGTCTGCTTGTCGATGTGATATTCATAGATTTTAGCAAGGCATTTGACGAGGTTTCACACTTAGGTCTTATGCACAAGCTCTCGAACTTCGGAATAATAGGTTCTGTACAGGAGTGGATAAGAAATTTCTTATGTGACCGCAAACAGAGAGTGAGGGTCAACGGAACGCTATTTGATTGGAAGCCAGTGAAAAGTGATGTATCCCAAGGCATCATCTTAGGCCCTCTGCTCTTACTTCTCTACGTTAACGAGTTACCGCTGTTGCTTAGGTCGTCGACATTTTTGTTTGCGAATGACGTAAAAATCTGGGGAACAATGAAAAGTGAGGCTGATTATTTTGATCTCCAAGCTGACTTAGACGAATTGGTTAGATGAGCTCGAGGTTGGGGCTTAGGAATCAATTCTAGGAAGAGTGTGCTAATGCACATCGGTTACTGCAATAGTTACTATCATACTACTGAGCATTCAAATGCTTTGACGAGGAAATGTCTCGAATTTTATATGCCACCTGTGTAAAACCACATTTAGAGTACTGTATCTAAGCACCTGGTCCATGTCTGGTAAAGGATACCGACTCACTTGAGCGTGTATGAACAAAATTAGTGAAGGGTCTTTTTCAACTCCCTTGCGATGAGCGTTTAAAACGCCTAAACCTTTTCCCCTTGTCGTATCGCAGGACTCGAGGTGACCTTATACTGGCATTTCGTATCTTTGATCATGATTTGGGTGTTAATATGTCCTATCTTTCCGCTCCCTCCAGCACTAATAATCTCCGAGGTCATAGCAAGAAGTTTCACAAACCGCGATCTAATAAACTTAAACTTGGGTCCCGTTTTTCTTATCGAATAGTCAATGACTGGAACGCCCTACCCAAAGAAGTGGTATTAGCCCCATCAGTGAATATTTTCAAAGAAACGCTGAACCTTCATTGGAAGGCAATCTGTCAGGATTAACACAGGTTCACCAACCTACTATCCTTGTTACTGAAGACTAATGGGGTCCTGGTCCTGAGAACCCTTATGTATGATGGTCTTATTTTTTAGAAGAATGTGAAAACCAGAGCTTTAAGACCAATATATGAGTTGTTAAAGTAACTTTGACCAGAATGAAACGTACCGAAGACTTTAATCTGTAGCACCTTGCTGGACTGTATGGCGAGGGAGAGCTCAGACTCATCCTCAATCGTTATAAAGTCCCCATCTGAAGGGTGAACATGAGAAGTTTGCACTCACCTTCGTCCTTATATTTTACCAATAATTCATCTTCCTTTGTAATATACTGTTTGAAGACACGTTGCATCATTAAAATAAGTTCATCGTAAGTGATTTCCTCATTATGTATTGGGATTCGTCGCAAGTCATGTCCTAGTTGAGCTTTGATAATAAGTTTCCCAGAGAGATCCATGCTGAAACGCTGCAGCCTAATTTCGACCTTATCCGTGGTAATGATACGTCAGCAGCCAATACCTGACCTTAATGATCCAGACAGGTGCGGCCACATGTCCAATACTCAATGTACTGTCACATCCAATAATCAATGTGATGTTATGAAACTGCATAATGGATGTCCAAGAAACACATTGATTGAGCTGTCATACCGCGACTAATAAAATATGTTGGAGTATGAATATTATTTTTTAGACTTAATCAATATTGGTCATAATATTAAAATTAAGCCAATAATAACCGTAATTGAAATTCAGAGATTATGTTGTCACACTGTTACGAGAGTAACGCCAAACCGTAGCCAAATGATCCACTAACCTGAATGCATGCTTATCTTGTAAGACTATTCTCTGGAAATTGAATCGTAGACGGAAATTAGTGGAGGTTAATGAAAACTAATACATATTCACTTCCCCAGTACAAGATATAGTCACTAGTATTCTTAACACTTCACCCTCTATATACACACCCTTCTAATAAACCGCTTCGCTTGTAGCAACCTTGACTTCCCTTCCTTCATATGAGCTTACTCCAACTTGTTAAACATCATAACTCGTTGTTCTTTATAAGTACATTCTCTAATATGGAGCCTCTGACTTCACTTCACTCTAACAAGACATTATATAAATTTATTCTAATTTATTATACCTCTGTCCGTTCTACTACACAATGTTAAGCAAACTTCGGCGTTCATATCCAAGTGCCTTGCTGCTCTTCTGTTTCTCTTTTTTTTCTCCTTCAGAATCTTGCTCTGAGAGCACAGCTATGAAACTTCTGACGTTTGGAGCAAACTTGACGTACCCGTCCTCCCAAGGTCATAGTTTACAGCAAGCGCTCTACGATTTCACTTTATAACAACTATAAACTTAATAAGTTGGGAAGCATTTTGCGAACCGACAAATGTTGTAATTTATAGATCATGCCTGTAAAAACGGTGTGTACCTGCACATGCAGAAATATATTATTATAATTATTAAATTTATTCCTGATACATATATTACATCAACGTACTGAGGTCCCAAGACAGCTAAATGACTGCCGCGTGAAAGACATTTTCGAGCATTGTTCATTTACCTCTCGTTCTGCGGCTAAGTGGTCGAACTTTTAATCTTACCGTGTCAATAAATAAAAAATATAATATTTTAAAGTACTCTTGTACACACATTTTTGAATAAAAAACCGCAAAATCAACCGTTCTGTGCATGTAATCTTTTCCGCTGCCATATGGTATACATGGTGGTTTTTCCTTAAGGTTCGCTTACCACAAAAGTGTTTACTAACAACAAGCCCGCGGAACTTAGACATATGGATGATCACGCCTTTAGGTTCTCATTACCCCAATAGGATGGAGGTGAACTGTGCCATCAAATAAATCACAAAAATAAAATTTTATTAGTCTTTGACATTGATGCGGACCTCATTAGTTTTACTGAGTAGACCCCTAACTGAGGATTTTCCGTCAAACATCCAGATCAAGTCATGTTTGTCTACATCGTGCTGAGCGTCTCTTATGAGAACCAGTTAAGTTAGACTTTATCCAAATATATGTCTTAACTCTCGCATTATGGGTCTCCGGTTTAACGGGCTTTGTGATTTTCAACTGTTGACGTGTTACGGAACACAGAACTGTGAATCCCTAAATGTCCCTGACATCTAAGAGCTTTGTGTGACTCAGTGAAGGAGGAAATCTACTTGAAAGTTGAGGGCTGTAAAAAGGCCACAGGTACCCAGAGTTCTACGATACCTTTACCAGCAACACCCTATAATGGAAGTATACCAAGCCAGTCAAATCAGAAGTCAGAAATGAAGGGGTTTGAAGAAATATTTGAATGACTTTCGATATATTGAGAAGCGTTTGGTCTAAGCTGGCCGACAGTTGCAAGGGATGCATAGCATAGCGTACCCAAATGTGATATAAGTTGGACCACTGCCGCATGTGCCTGTCTATGGTATGTAATATATCAATCCGCCTTAATCGCAATCGAGAAGCGGGATTTCGTTAATTTACCGAGATTTCGATATTCTACAATGTAAATTAGAAGAGGTCCAGCCTGGTAGGTGATCTGGATAGTACTCCGTCTCATTTCTTTGACCCTACAAGAAAAGAGTCACTAACTTTATCAACGCTTTCAGATTTTCACACATTTATATTTGACTGTTTCCTGTGTTGAAAGAAAAGGTGAATTTGATGACATAATTGGCTTTCCATTATGCAGTTTCACAACATCAAATGGATTATTGGATGTGACAGTACATTGAGTATTGGACATGTGGCCGCACCTGTCTGGATCATTAAGGTCAGGTATTGGCTGCTGACGTATCATTACCACGGATAAGGTCGAAATTAGGCTGCAGCGTTTCAGCATGGATCTCTCTGGGAAACTTATTATCAAAGCTCAACTAGGACATGACTTGCGACGAATCCCAATACATAATGAGGAAATCACTTACGATGAACTTATTTTAATGATGCAACGTGTCTTCAAACAGTATATTACAAAGGAAGATGAATTATTGGTAAAATATAAGGACGAAGGTGAGTGCAAACTTCTCATGTTCACCCTTCAGATGGGGACTTTATAACGATTGAGGATGAGTCTGAGCTCTCCCTCGCCATACAGTCCAGCAAGGTGCTACAGATTAAAGTCTTCGGTACGTTTCATTCTGGTCAAAGTTACTTTAACAACTCATATATTGGTCTTAAAGCTCTGGTTTTCACATTCTTCTAAAAAATAAGACCATCATACATAAGGGTTCTCAGGACCAGGACCCCATTAGTCTTCAGTAACAAGGATAGTAGGTTGGTGAACCTGTGTTAATCCTGACAGATTGCCTTCCAATGAAGGTTCAGCGTTTCTTTGAAAATATTCACTGATGGGGCTAATACCACTTCTTTGGGTAGGGCGTTCCAGTCATTGACTATTCGATAAGAAAAACGGGACCCAAGTTTAAGTTTATTAGATCGCGGTTTGTGAAACTTCTTGCTATGACCTCGGAGATTATTAGTGCTGGAGGGAGCGGAAAGATAGGACATATTAACACCCAAATCATGATCAAAGATACGAAATGCCAGTATAAGGTCACCTCGAGTCCTGCGATACGACAAGGGGAAAAGGTTTAGGCGTTTTAAACGCTCATCGCAAGGGAGTTGAAAAAGACCCTTCACTAATTTTGTTCATACACGCTCAAGTGAGTCGGTATCCTTTACCAGACATGGACCAGGTGCTTAGATACAGTACTCTAAATGTGGTTTTACACAGGTGGCATATAAAATTCGAGACATTTCCTCGTCAAAGCATTTGAATGCTCAGTAGTATGATAGTAACTATTGCAGTAACCGATGTGCATTAGCACACTCTTCCTAGAATTGATTCCTAAGCCCCAACCTCGAGCTCATCTAACCAATTCGTCTAAGTCAGCTTGGAGATCAAAATAATCAGCCTCACTTTTCATTGTTCCCCAGATTTTTACGTCATTCGCAAACAAAAATGTCGACGACCTAAGCAACAGCGGTAACTCGTTAACGTAGAGAAGTAAGAGCAGAGGGCCTAAGATGATGCCTTGGGATACATCACTTTTCACTGGCTTCCAATCAAATAGCGTTCCGTTGACCCTCACTCTCTGTTTGCGGTCACATAAGAAATTTCTTATCCACTCCTGTACAGAACCTATTATTCCGAAGTTCGAGAGCTTGTGCATAAGACCTAAGTGTGAAACCTCGTCAAATGCCTTGCTAAAATCTATGAATATCACATCGACAAGCAGACGGTCATCTAGGACTGCTGTCCAGTCCTCTCTCACAATAAGTAAGTTAGTCAAGCATGAACGCTTGTTACGAAACCCATGTTGCTCAGGAGCTAACATTGTGTGAATCTATGTGACTTAGCAACTTAACCCGAATTATCTTTTCAGGTAACTTAACGAATATGCTGGTTAGACTGACAGGCCGGTAGTTAGATACGATGTCTCTGACCATCCTTAAATATGGGACTGACTATAGCGTCTTTCCAATCTCTAGGGAGTTGGGCGGGTGAAAGGGATTTGTTGAAGAGTGTCGCGAGCGATCGTGGAATAATGCCCACAAGAGATGAGAGCAGCAGTGGATGTAACCTATCAGCGCCCGGTATCTTACAAGGTTTGAGGTTAGTTACCAGTGGAAGAACAGTTTCCCCAGTCACATGTCCAGATTCTATGACTGGTATCTCGGTGTTATTGGGACAAGTATTTGTAACAATAAACGTAGAGTAGACTTCGCTAAAATAGTTTGAAAAGGTCTCAGCTTATGCCCGATGTAATTCAGCTAAACGCATGAGAACTACGTCACAGTAACCTTGTTTCCTTACAATTCTGCCACATAGTGCTCGTTTTGAACCACTCATCATTCTTTTGATCCAAACTTTTTGATCTAGAAAGGACCCAAATACATCGAATTTCTGTTGTAGTCGCAACAGGATAGCTGTTTCTGTATCTTAAGGTCTGCTTTATATTCTATGAAAATGAATAAATGTCTCCACTGTTATTAAATCAGTTGCGTTATAACAGAATTAATAGCTGTGATAAGAGACTTGCCGGAAAAAGGAGTTATTTTCCTTAAAAGGAATTAATATAGTACTTAGTCTAATCATTCTAATACATACAACCCATCCGAAAATGTCGACTTCTTTCAGATTTCATAGAAAAAGTGATTTTCAGACGAGACCCAATTATCATCATTATTTGGGATGACGTCCACTCAGATTTGAGTTCCTGACTTAATGTTATCGTTTAAAGCCTACACAGTCGTTCATTTCTTTCTCATTTGTAGGCGTCTAGGCGGACGTTAACTTGGGAAGAGAAAAGTGGTTTTTCATATACGAATTTCAGTGCATTTATGTTTTCATGAGAGTGCCCGTATATTTTAAGCACTTTTGGGTACTACGTCCAAGACTTGAGTATTTGTAAACTTTAACTGACCTTCCAGTTTTTTGTTTATTTGCACGAAAGTAT